GGGGAGTGTTGGGGTTGCAGGATGAAAAAGAATACCGGAGCCAAGGGAGCAAGCGAGAGGATTAAGACAAATGACACTTCCTTCTCACCTCCTTGCTCTGTGCAAGGGAAAACTAATTCCCCCTTCCTCAGTTATGAAATAATCATTTTCCTCATCTGATGGCCCTGGCTTGACAAACACTATCGACTGGGGGCTGCTGTTGCTGATTTAAAACGAGGCATTTTGATACTGCTATCCCATCGGAACTGTTTCAGCAGAATGTGTTATTTATAAAAATGTCCCATTTACTATCTCTTTTAGGCAAGGCAAGTTTATTTATATAGCACTTTTCTGTACGTGACAATTCAAAGTGCTTTACAAAACAAATTAAAATACTTTTTAGGAATAAATAAAAACACATTATATAATGGCATTTTACAACAGGCATTATAAAGCAAAGATAATTAAATAATTAAACACCACAGGTATACAATACATGTTTAAAAGGCATACTGTAGTGTGAATATGAGCAGCTCAATTAAAAGCAGCGGCAAAGAGATATGTTTTTAATCTCGATTTAAAAATAGTAAGCGTTTCTGCGGACGTGATTTGGGTAGTTTGTTCCAGATTGTTCCAGATGTGTTGTGTCGGATCAAGCCATAGTATCCATAGAATGCCTATAAACCGTGGTGATATAGGAGTAAGTGCTCAGTTAATTTCATATAGAAATTGACTGCATTGATGAATATCAAATCAGACTCAGAACACTTCAATATTTGTGTTTTCATCCCGCAGTTCATTTTAGCAGGATAATACACAATTTGCTTTCTAATGGCTCGTCTAATAAAGCACAAATGAAGAGCCTATTAGGTTGTGTTACCCACTCCCCTTTAACATTATGCAAATGTAATTTCTAATGATGTTCACTATACACATGTTTCCTCCTGGCACTGGTAATTATGAATGTGCCAAGAAGCTTTATGAATGTGTGATGTGAGATTAATGTGAGGTGGTACAGTCAGACAAATAGATTACACCACAGAGTGAACAGTGGAGGCAATATAAGGTGGAGCGAGGGGGCTCTGCTTTGATCGATAATGGTGCAACCACAGGAGGGGAAATAATTACACATGCCCCGGATCTGAACCACCTGGGGTTGATCCACACAGCTGAATTGTTCGTATTAAGATCACCAACACTTCATGATCACTGCTGAGATTACCACTGCCACCTCGGGAGCATGGCCCAGAACTCGCATCCCTCAACCAAATCCCAAACTCCTCATTCCTGCAGCCTTACTCCTTGATGTTCCATAATCCTCTGTCATCGGCTAGGGGGGGGGGGACACATGCAGGGAGAAAGAGGGGCTGCAGTCATAAATCTCCTCCCAAACTCAATGCAGGAAGTGCACGGAGAGGCTTGCTGGTGATAGCTTCTTCTGTCGCTCCTCCCTCACCTATCAACGTCTCCCTATCTCTCTCTCCCGTTGCTCACTCTCATTACTCCTCCTCTGTTATGTCATGTCCACATTCAATTTTCTCTATGCCGAATAACATCTCAATGTCAAGTATCCATGCATAGGTCTCTGTCAGCACTGTCCTGTCATGTGCACGCACGTCCCGATCGTGGATCACACGCTCCCCCTATCGCGTATACTGAGCAGAATTGTAACATGGGAGGGGGGGGGTGGGGTTAATGAGCCCATGCAATCCATTCTGCTGCTTTGAATGTATTCTGCTGTTATGAACACGTTGTTCATCATCACCCTGACTCACGGCTAATATGGTCAGTTCAATTTCGATTCAGATTATTCAGGAGGCATCATTCACAATATGTTTGGAACTGCGATGGCAAATCATACGATACGATACGATATACTTTATTGTCCCCGTAAGGAAATTTGTTCTGGACTCCGTCCTGCAGTTCCACATACATGCACATATACAAACATAGTGGACATTAAGAGACATATCATCCGTCATACACCGTTTGAACAAACAGAATACACAGACACACATACTGACAATGGCGACCAATTACGTGAAAGTAACCCAACCTTAACAATTCTGAAGATGCCTTTTGGTTTTTCCATTTTACTTGCTCTTTTAAACATTGTGTTTGTCACGCTTCTCTTACTCCTTTGTTACTTTCTACCTGTTCTGTTACGCTCAGTTTTTTTTCCCGTGTGCTTCTATCGAAAGACTCTTCACTCTGTTTCCACTTTCGCTCAAACCCTTGGGGATTTATCTTTACCGGCAGTATCAGAGCAATTGATTACACCACACTCCTCCTCACCATTTCTCTTTCCCTGTCTGAGCCCAAAACACGCACACATACTCTCATCTCTCGTCCTGCCTCACTGTTCTCTGGACTGTTCCACACGTATCACTGCCTTTGCAGCAAAGAGAAGGGAGCCATGTGGCGGATGTATTCACACACAAATATACCGACACCTACACACACAGGGGCTGAGGCTCTGTGCAAATAGGCAAAAACAAAGGACGAATCCTGAGAGACAGGAGGTCCAATCTCTGAGAAGAGAGGAGCATTCAAGAGAACACACGCACATTGACATCCTTTCCATTTCTTCTCTCACCCACTCTGCCTCTCTTTCTCCCTCTCTCCTCTCTCTCCCTCTTTCCCTCAGATGCGCCACACACACACACACACGCATACACACATGCAAAGGCAGACCCCCCTCTCACACAGGAGTAGATCGAGAGCAGTGAAGAGCAGAAGGAGCAGGGTGGCAGGAGTGAGGCAGGAGAGCTGTTGTTGATTGAACAAAGCCAGGAAAGGAGTGCGCAGTCCTGGAGAGAACGGCAGCTGTGAAATGCCTCGAAGGGAGCCTGCCAGCAACTCCTGCGGAGACCTGAAGGTAAGCTTCGTGCACCACTGATGGAGCAAAAGCAGAGGAAGATGAGGGACAGAGAGAGGATGGCAAAAGAAGGAAATGGGAGGTTTTTTAAAGCTGCTGATGCATGGTACAACTGTGGCTCCACGTCCAAGCTGCCTCCTCTCAATTTGTCTGTGGATGGCATCGCATGCTGTGATTGCATTATGTGTTTCATTACTCATCCACAAATCCCATCTGGAGTGGCATAATATACAAAAGTGTGCATTATACTTGAAGGAAGATCAAAAACTAGAGCCAGGGAGACGAGGACAGAGAAGATTAGATACAACGCAAGACACTTCAGGAGAACGAGAGCAGGGAAAGGAAAGTGGTGATGGCTGGATTACCCTCCTCCATCGGCTGCAACCTGTATCACCACATCTCGCCTCCTTTTGGTCATGTGTCACTGCAGAGATCCATAGATCATCGTCCATGCATCTACTTGCCCTCATGGCGGAGGCAGGGTAATCAAATCAACAATGGGTTTCTCTGAGCCTGTCAACACATGGGCACGCATACTCGTCCGACGCGCTATAGTTCTCTCAGTGCAATGCAGGAGTTTTACAAGCGCAGTAGCATCAGCGGGAGCAAACCCTGACTCTACATCTACAGTAGATGTGTGTTACTGTAAGTGTGTGGAGGAGGGGGTGCTGTACAACGCAGCAGAGCATGTTGCACCTCTTACATGTTTCTATAGCATCAATACAAGCAGGAGATAAAGGGGATTCACAAAGTAGTGATGGCTGTTTGCAGGGTTTTCATTAATATTGTAGGGTACATCAAAAGCAATGAGAGAAAATCATGTATATTGATTCCCTTAACACATCGCTCTGCGCTGAGGATTAGGGCTTCTTGCTTTAACGTAGGATGTACACTACAGTCTTCTCCGTATGTTCAGTGCACATCTCCACAGTTGTTGCTGTAAAACTTTGATGACATTGCAGTGGCCTTAGCAGCCACATTAATCCAGTGCAGGTTCCCCAATGCTGCTGTCCTTCCCTTTAATGCCTCATTAGGGAATGTGAACAGCGTCATGGCAGCGAAAAGACTCAATGATTATTTTTTAATATCTGTTCTCTGGCACGACGTGGATGAATAACAAGCCATATCCTCTCTCATCAATAACCACATTTTTGCATAATGGTACATTCTAGAAATCCTAGTCTGACAGGGTGTTTTTCATTGCAGGCTTTGCAGCATAACCTTCCAACACTTGTTCAGGCTACTTTTATAACTGTAAAGGACCCTGCTCACCGCTGGTTGAACGGTGATTGGCTATTTACAGAGTGTCGGGGGAAGTACATACTGTTTGGATATCATGGTTTTTGATGGATGGCCTTTTGGCCTTAATAACAGCACTATCTTTGTGGTTGCATTTGAGCCATGTGTATCTTGATGCCCTCCTGTTCGGTTCTAATCTATGTCGTGATCTCACTAACAAGTGGACAAAAGAGGTCAAAAGGTACAAGCTCTGCAGGATCTTAGGAGACTCTCAGAAGAGAAGACACTGAATAATTAATTGGATATGTTTATTTAGTCAGGACTGAGTCCCTCTATGGGATGTAGGCAAAGCTGTGTTCTTCAAGCTGATCAACACTTTCTAATACCGCAGCGGCGCATTCATGTCAAGGGCTTAGCCAGGCGTGAAGTTATTTTTTTTGTATTTTATACCCTGGAAAATGAGTATGTCAGTGTTGCAATAAAATTTAGTATTTTGCGTAAAGCTGCCGATAGACCTACATGAAGATGCCTAATTTATGCAGCTCTACATATATGTACATACTTTCCTTCAGTTCTAGTGCCTAAGTGTCCTTCTTTGAAAAAACATTCTGTATAATTCATAAGCCCTACAGTTTGTGATCTGTGTATGAATACAATACATCTCTTGGTATTTGGATAAAGCAGAATAGCAGCATTCAATGCCCCACTCAATTAAATCAACCCTCAAGGATTCCCTCAGTTTATGCCCTCATTAATCTGTTACTGATGCATATTTAAGTAGCTGTGTCTACTGTATTTTACAAAGTCACCTGCCTGCTTGTGTACTAGATGTATGGTTTGTCCCACACTCTAATCAGGCAATGGCTTTACAATGAATGCATTTCTCCTAACACGTATGTTTGAT